TATTTGGAGAGCAGATCTCAATATGCATAAAGTACCTGCAACACTTTCAGTTAGTCCTTCAGTCAGAAAGAATTAAAAAATAACTTTGCTAAAATAGGGAGTCTTTAGGAAACTAAAATTGCGTTTTCAGTTGTCCAAATAAGGTATAGCGCTACCTTTGGGGTACGAAGAACAGGTATAGTGATTGCTCCGGTGAGCTTAATGATTAATGGACGAAAATATAGGGGGAGTTGAATAGCTCGGCCTTTTCTTTTTTCAAAGCATCGTTACTAAATTAGAATCGTTTAGCGGTGTGAAAAATTAAGAAATCTTATAAATAAATTCTGTTCTAGCGAAATTCCTACATAACAAGGAATTTATAACGGATATTTGTTGCTACCCACAGCTTTGGTCATCGGCAAAGAGATGTATATACCAGTACAAATAGAGTTATGGTAGACGCTGCATTCTTTTAATAAGGATCTCCACTCTAATAGAAGTAACTCAGTTTGAAAACAATCGGTTCGATTCAGAAGTTTTTTTATTGAAATAATTAACTATCTAGAGCATTGTGAGGAACTCTATACAATCCGAATACCAAGTTTAAAAATCTGAGTCCTGATTTTGGGTCAGACGGTATCTCGTACCAATTTCAACTGGCTACTAAAATCAAACAAAACAATAAGAATAGAACACTTGAACATATCGACTAAATTCCAAGTGAATATTGTCAGAAACGATCAGTAAGAGGACCAGAAAGCTAATAGTTTTGGATGGGTTTTCCGATAAAAAAAACTTACGATTTTCGAAGAGTCAGCTTCGACTGGCTTCTACTGGGTTTAAGAAACTGTTTTGTGTAAAAATTTTACAGAGGTCTATATTCGGAAAAGGATTAACCTTCATAATAATTGGATATTTTATACTTTGATCATTACAAGGTAGATACAAAATTTATAGTCATATATAAAACTCAGAGCTGGATAAGGACCATTCATTTGCAGCACCTCATAGGCAACCTAAATATCACTTATATAGACATCCATTAAAGTTCCTCTGGCCTTTTCATTTTCTGGGGGAAGAAATGTATGTTTTAAGTGAGCCCATATAAATTTCATCAGAACCGACTCTGTCCAAAAGGTCCAACAAAACACCACATTCGAATGTATGTAACCGAAATGGACCCGGATTTTAACTTGCTAAGTAAACCGCCTCGGCGAATTCTTCAAAATTTGTTTGAAATATTTTCTTCCACTACAACAATAGTAAACAAGATCTCTATTTTGATGGGTAGGGTATAAAAACAAGGTTCCGTATGGGGAAAACCTATAAAGCCCGAAGTTCGGGGTAAGTCAACTAGTCGAAGCCATTTCAGAGTACTTATTCCCTGCTACTGGATAGTGTATGGTATGCTAGCGAACTGGGCTCAGTTAACACTGAATTCTGGAAGAACCGTTGCCTTCTAAGCTAGTTTATACATAGTTTTGTGTAGAAATTTAAACTTAACCTGATCAAACACAAATATGTGCGGTGAAATTTATATACACGATTACGTTCGAATGGGTAGCCACATGTGTCCGCCATATTATGTTTTTCAAAGAGTTATAGCCACACAACACTGACCTCTTTCATAACAACTGCAATCTGACGCGCTTCGTGGCACATATTTGTTATTGCTGTTGCATGTTTTTGTTTTCGTTTTAACATTTTTGATTTACGCACATTTACGCCGAACTGTTCAAATTAACGTCAATTACTTTTGTTGCGTTCAACGAAGCAAACGACCAAATGTGAATGGTCCGTTGCCATGACAGTTCAATTGTTTCTGTTGCTGTTGTTGTTGTTGATTTGCGAAATTGAATTAAATGAGGCATTTGGTTTGAATTTTCCAGCATAAGTTGACACCGAGTATAACAAATGCTTCGAGCAAGTGGAAAGCTGTGTAATGATCAAATGAATGGAGAACCATTTTGAATAGCAATAAATTTCGATAATAATGAAATGCAGGGGGAATGTAATGATATTAAGAAATTAAAAATGAGGTATTATTAGTGAAAATAAAATTATCAAATCTTTAATGTTTCAATGAAAAATTTCAAAAGTTAATATTATATATAAAACTTATCAAGAACAAAAATTGTAAAATTGATTTTATTAAATTGTATTAACAAAAAATTAATTACAAAATATAGAACCAAATAATAAGTTAACAAAAATTTAAAAAAAAATTCATGTAAAAACAATAAAAATCCTTAAATTTGCCTCTAATGCTCTTGATAGGTTTCCATGCTCATAAGGATATAAAAAGATCATTTTCTTGATTTTGATCGGTCAGTTTAAATGGCAGTATATGCTATAGTGATCCGATCTGAACAATATGTTCGAAGATTATAGCGATACTTTGTGTAATAATCTATGCCAAATTTCGTAAAGATAACTTGTAAAATAAAAAAGGTTTCCTTACAAGGACTTGTGTGGAACGATCAGCTAACTATATAATATATTTGTCCGATATCGGTGGTTCCATCAAATATGGTAAACAACTTTGGGCGTAACGGACGCGGACAAAATTTAAGAGCGTTGTCACAAGAACTGAAGGCTAGTTCACGACGAACAGACGGATAAGGTAAAAAAATAAAACATTTATACTTCATAGGATTCTTATATCTTATTCTGATAATCCACAATTGGACAGATTTTGACAGATTTCGTATTCAACATAAAGCTCACTATGATAACGACAAACATTATATGTAGTATATAAGGACTGGGGTAGTTCGCGGACCGATTTCACTCAATTTCGCTAAGATAACCCACATATTGGGCGATATATACGGTATAAAGTCAACCAGAAGTTTAATAATTATTACATTGGGTATATGGCGACCCAAGGCTTTCTGATTATACCAATATTGTACGCAGATTAACCTTTAATTTCTGTATGAAGTGATGTCCACATATTCGGTATCTGGGGCTTGCATAGTTATAGTCGATTTTTGGATGTGAGCTGATAAAGTGAAACGATCTAGTGAATTCTAAAATTATGGTGTATGGGAACAAGGCGTGGCTGTATTTCGGTTTCGCCCATTTTACACTGTGATATTAGAATCTCAGAATAAATTGAAATTGGTTTGTTTAGTCGATTATAAATTTAGGATTTCAAATGAAAATGGAGATGGAGATGCCTTTTGTCAAATATTTCCACCAATTTATGCGCAACTCTTTTCATCAGATAGACCACGAGTCGGTACTCCGCTGTCCTCTTGAGCTTTAGTGTTGAATCTATAAACCTTCCGTGAGCTTGGTAAGCGATGGTCAACAACCAGACCTTGTGCTACTGTGAAGGTTTTCAAAGTGGAACGAACGAGGTCCTCTAAACTATTTCGTCTTAGCAAGACAGTTTTGCCACCATGGCGTTCAGTCTGAATTTTGTCAAAAGGCTCACATACGGTAAGGTTACTTATCCTGGCGGATGTAAATTGCCAAAGCTGTATGGAAGAAAACTAGGTGGACTCATCTAAGGGGTGTGTTAATACATATTTAAGATTGGGAGTCATAAAGGACCAGTGGGATTCTGCGCTACCTTTGACGCGAGGATCGGATTTACAATATAACCTATGATATAGCATTTTATAGGTTTTGGCACAACCTTATCAGAGTGCTAAGCAACATGAAACAATGTTCAAGATATCTCAATTTTTATTCAAGTTCCACTTGCTCGGACATACGTATGGATTAGTTTCAGGTATTACAAACAATTCTTAGGTAAATAAAACTATTATAAAAAGGTATGTAATGTGATGAGGAGAGTAAAAACCTATTATTAAAATATATTTTTATGTTTTTGCAAGAATTCTATAGATCCAAACTATTTTTGAGTAAAAAAAAAATTAATTTTGTAAAATAAATTGATATTTAGAATACGGAAAAGCAATAATTTTGGTAAAAAATTATTTTTTATTAAAAAAAAAAAAAAATTATAATAATAATAATTTTATACAAAAGTGATATGGCGAACGGGAAAAAGTAATAATTTTGATAGGAAAAAATATTTTTGAGCCAAAAAATAATTAAATTTTATAAAAAAGTGATATTTCTAATACGAGTAGTTTAGTAACAAAAATGATTTCGAGTCTTCGTTGTAACAGAACTCATAAAAAATTATGAACATTATGAAATTGTCTTATATTTTTAAAAATTGTCTTCTAGTGTTTTTTGAAGATATTTAAAATCAAGTTTGAGCGAGTAATTATTTTTTTTTTTTAATTTTAAATGAAAATCATTGTTTTTCCATTTGTTTATATTTGGTATATCTAGCTTTTATTAATTTTATCCTTATTTCAACATAAATTTAGCTCACTAGAAAACAGATTGTTTTTGCTTAAAAACAGCTTGCACTTAAAATAGAACATTCAGTAGTACACATAAAACTTTAATGAGTATTCCTTGTGAAAAAGTGTAAAATCTGCGCTTTTGAAAAAAACACAAAATTTTAATTCAAAAATAATGTTTGCGCTGAGAACTTAACATCAGTATAGAGAAAAGTAAGTGTACTTTAAGAAGAAAGCTGCGTTGAAACCAGTAGAGTCGCTTTTCATTTTCCAGTAATTTTATTTTAATATATTTTTTTGTTACCATAATTATCAACACAAAAAATAGTAAAGATTTTTTGTACGGGTACATGTCACTTACCAAATTTAACCACGCATTTGTGGTAAGAATCTGATTCTTTTCGTCCTATAAAAAATTTTAGATCCATTAATATTTTCAAACTTGTTTTCTTGCAAATTTTTAAAATCAAAATATTTTAGTTTTTCGTAAATGCAAAATTTCGGTTACAAATTTCCGTTCATTTTTGGCTATTTTTCCATTAACGTGTTTGCTGTGAAATTTTTTTCTATTTTTTTCTTTTTTTTTATGATAAAATTAATTTGATTTGTTTTCTTGTAAAAATAATTTGTTTTCAAATTAAAAGCTGTTGTTGTTTTAGTGTTGGTGCTAAATTTGGATTATCAAACACTTACCACATCAATAATTTGTTGCAGCGTTAAACCGAATTTGACTTCCAGCGGTTCCGATTCGTTTGCTACGGGTCGCTCGAGTGTATTATAGGTGGATAGTAGGTGGTTAAGTAGACGTTTTTCGTGTGGTCCTTGGCAGCTTTCTGGAAGTGTAATGGTGAGAGATAAAGATTCAAGTGAAAAATAATTTTAATAAATTTAATGGTTTCATTCGTTATGAACCTAATCGCAATTCTCCTTAGGTTATATTTGTAAATCAAATCAGAAATTTAGAGATGATTTAACAACAAACCGTACAAATTTGAAAAAAAAGAAAAAGTAAATATGGTCAACAAAATTTATTTTTTCCAAATTATAATATAACAAGTTTTTGGCTTGGTTTATTTATTGGATTAGGAATTACTAAAAAATATTAATAATCGATTCACATAAAACTTTCCTCGCTTTGCTTGCACAACGGACGGCAATTTCGTAGATCGCAAAAAGTTTTTGATCACGGATGAAATAAATCTTTACCAGTGCCATACCTCTGCTGATAGCAATCATTAGCAAATGTTCACCAAAAGAGAACCTTTCCGAAGTTAGTTTTAGCCCAAAAAAGGGGCAACTCTAAAGAGAGCAATTCGAGAGAGTAATTCGGGTATTTGTTCCTTGCTTCGCAGGTTTCTTTTGAGAGTTATGAATTCGGGCTATTTCACATACTACAAGTAGTATCTTGGACTCAATGTCCGCAAAGATGAGAGTCCATTATACAAGTATGTATATTAACTCTTAAATGGGGTTTGTGGAATGTTGTAAGATTGAGTAATTTAATTTACGAATAAAAATACTCTTTTATCAGTCTCTCTTCCTGATCAGCCTAATTTATGGTGGTAGAACGATAATGGTGCAAGGATCTAATGAGATGGTTTTTAGGAAAACTTGAATGCTTTTACTAGTCGAAAATGCAGTAGGTTAGGTTAGGTAGGATTCGATGGCTGATCCACAGATCGCACTTGGACTTCTATATACAGTCGTTTTTGAAGCCATAAAAACAAAACTAATGTATTCTATCTTATAAGTCTGCAAAGCGCCTTGTGGGCAATACAAATATGCTTACGTTGAGTTTAATTTCTATTCCCACCAGCATGGTTGGAAATCTAAAAGTGTGACTTCCCTAGTGTTTAAGAATTGATGTCGCAAACGCGGGACAATCAAGAAGGAAGTGTTGGTTAGTTCCACCTCGTCATCCTCCATACGGCTTCTGCAGCAAACGTCCGGTAAGATTGTGAACCTTACAGCAATGGCCTGTTAAAACAACTAGGCAAATGCTAGCCTTAATGGGGGCAAATACCTCACTGGATCTCTTACGATCGATCTTGGACCAAAAGAATCTTGCGACAGCGCATGAACCGATGGTAGCCCAGCGATGGTCAAGCTCCCGCGAAGCCCAGTTATACAATAGTAGAACACACGAGGAGATAGGAGCACCGACACATTCCCATTCTACTGATAGCGGGGCTAGGGGGCCTTTTCTTGTCATCTCGTAAGCTTTACAGTTACCTGTGATATCGCTGTGGCCTGACAGAAAGAGAATGAGAGAGTGTAGAGACCGATATAAAGCGAACATCTGTTGCTATAGAAGTATAGGAAATATTCACTAAAAAATCTTTAGTATATTCACTTTGACTCTGATGCTTTTCGAAGGCGAGAGAATTAACTATTTACTTCCTGTATGTTATAGTACAATTAGAAGATAATTTAAAATAAACCAAGCTAATTACACAACTGTAAATACTGGAAAAATGTGAAATGTGAACAGTGTGATAATATTTTCTAACCTTGCTCTTTAGTCAAACCTTTCATTAAAATTGTCAATCTTGCAATGTGTAATATTAAAAGGATTCATTTCAAGATGTTTAGCTTGAACTTAAAAGCGTTATTTGTTTTTAGTTATTTGATATTTGCAAAGACACTCAACCTTGGCAAACTCTTAGTTTTTAATTGCTTCATAAAAGATGCCTAAGTGAGCATCATACAAATTAGTTTGGGAAACTTAAGCAGTATCACTCTCGCAAATATGCTATTAGTAAATAGCCTCTACACGTGTTGAATTGCGATGAAATTTTCATAACTGTAAAATGTGTTTTTCTCTGATACTCGTCTAATTAGACAATGGCACAAGGTCAAGCAAAGTCATTATTTCCAGAGCAAGGTCCAAATGCAATTATTGTCGAAGCTTTCTTGTATAATGCCTGCTCTGTTGTTTGAGTAAGCACCATTTGAAAACGTGTCCAATTATTTTTCATTATAAAAAGAAAAAAAAAAAAACACTGTGTACGAAATATAAAATAAATAATTGCATTTTATGAGAAAAACTAAATAATTGGAAAATTTGCAAGACACTTCAACTGGGAAACGGCAAAACTAAAAGTTCGCTACCAAACAAACAAATAGTAAAAAAGGACATATACATACATACATACTCCCATAAATCACATCATAAATTGAGTAAAACAGTTACGCAAATGACAACAACAATAATAACAACTAATAGGCAAATGCTAAACAAATAAAGCAAGTAGCTTTTATATTAAAAAAAAATTAAACAAGTAAGGAAGGGCTAAGTTCGGATGTAACCGAACATTTTATACTCTCGCAAAGTCAAATGGTATACTCGTTTGAGATTTCTTTGTGGATTGACTGATATTTTCGGTAGAAGGTCAACTATAGGCACTGGGGTCCACATATTTAGTACTTAGGGGTTTGAACAGTTTTGGTTCGATTTAGACAATTTTTGGCCGCAAGGTGGCATACTTTAATTGCATTATTCACGCAAAGTTTTACCCCGATATAATCATTGTTACCTGATTTGCATAGTGGAAAGTGAAAGAATCAGATGGAATTGAAAATGGTGTTACATGGGAAGTAAGCGTGGTTGTAGTCCGATTTCGCCCATTTTCGCACTATGACATAGAAACATGAAAAGAACGTTATGCACATTTGGTTGAAATCGGTTGAGCAGATCTTAAGATATGGGTTTTCACCTAAAAGTGGGCTGTGCCACGCCCACTGTCTAATTTTGAACGCGGTTCCTATAAAGTCATCTTATACTATCTCAGAGATAAAATTTAATGTCTCTGGCGTGTTTAGTGCTTGATTTATCGCGCTTTTAGTAGTTTTTAACAGTACCGTTATATGGGGAGTGGGCGGAGTTGCCACCCGATTTCAACTATTTTCACACCGTCAATAGAAGTGCTAAAAACATTTGCTGCTAGTGAATTTTGTTATTATAGCATTAGCGGTTATTATAGCATTGCACATTAAACCTATTAGAGGCGGGACCACGCCCACTTAAAAAAAAAAAGTTTTAACTGCAGATGCCCCTCCCTAATGTGATCCTGTGTACCAAATAACAGTCTTGTATCTTATTGCGGAGCTTAGTTATGGCAAGTTATTTGTTTCTGATTAATGGCGTTTTGTGGGCGTGGCAGTGGTCCGATTACGCCCATCTGCAATACCAACCGTCTCACGGTACCAAGAAACATGTCTACCAAGTTTCATAAAGATATCTCAATTTTTACTCAAGTTAGAGCTTGCACGGACGGACGGACAGACGGACGGACAGACGGACGGACGGACAGACAGTCACCCGGATTTCAACTCGTCTCTTAATCCTGATCATTTATATATATATAACCCTATATCTAACTCGATTAGTTTTAGGTGATACAAACAACCGTTAGGTGAACAAAACTATTATACTCTGTAGCAACAGGTTGCGAGAGTATAAAAATTTGACGACAACAGTGAAAATGCTTTGTTGTACTGGCACAAGGCAACGAAAGTGGAATTATGAAATTGTTAGGGAACCAGCCAGCAAATGGATATTGAAGTATTTTTCCAAAAGCGCAAAATACAAAACTCATCATTCAACTGTAATTATTATACTTTGGCAGCTAATGCAGCGCGGTGCTAATTGCAAACTGTACATAAGTCTAATTATGTGCAAATATGTTTTAAATGAGTTTAAAAGTGACGAACGGATTGGAAGAGGAAGCGACAAACAGCGTCGAAGTTTCAGTGAAAAATAACATAATTTGTTGCGTAATTTTAGCTGAACGGAAAGTCACTGGAAAAAAAACTTGAGTTTTGTGTGAAAGCTGACGGAATCTTGAAAATAGCATTGAAATATCGCGAGTCTTACCACACCGCCAAGTCGGTTAACCTTTACCATCTAATCAAAAATTACTCATGATAAAAAATTACATTTTCGAGTTATTTACTTCAAATCTGTATTAACGCCAAATGGGCTACTGAGCCAATACAAGCATTTCACTGCCTAATCTAATTTTTCAGAGGTTGTATCCATTTGAGACATTTGTTTTATTGATTTGGCTTGCACGCAATTAAAGTGGACCAGTGCCATATAATGAGGTAAGTCATAACTAAAACGCTCCTAGACATTCGTTTCGTCTCCACTCAGAGAACTGCGACTTATGAAAATTTCAACAAAAAATATTCTTTATAATGTGAAATGCAAATGAACGAGAGAAATAGGGACATATAAGTTATATTGTATCTATGAAACCCAAAGCTGCCTTATACCTCCTTCTTATTTGGAAATGATTTTCTCTGGTCTTTTCTGGATCTCAGAAAACAGACCGATATACTAATGAGAATTTGCGAGATAACTAAGGAACAACTTGATGTGCATCGTATTAGAATGATTCGAGGTTGATTATTTCCCTCTAGACTTTTACCCTCCAAACATTTCTTCAATTCTAAAGCAGTAAATATATATTCTTTGCTAAAATTAAAAAAAGTTGCATTAAAGTGGTATTCAAAGGTAGAATAAAAGTTAATTTTTATTGTTCTCATAACTAAATGGTTTTTCTATGTTAGGTAGGTTTATAAGGTCCATCCAAAAACTTATCAGCAGAGTACGCCGTTACATTCTGAAAAAAGCTCTTTTAGCCGGCCGGAAATTTGTTAAAGGGCCTGATAACAATTTCGGAATTTCGCTATGTTCGCCAAAAGTATGATATGCTACGTGCTTGGATGTCTCTACCTCACCTTTCTCCATTTAACTTTGACAGTTAGCGTCCGACAAAATTATCGGTTTTACCGCATGAATGCCTATTGGTTAATTACTATTTAGTAA